ATTACCCCAAGAACTGACAGTTCTGAGCACCTCTTGACTAGAGACACAGTGTGAACTCTTTAAAGTGCTAGAGGGAGATGCAGGCATCTTATCAGATGTCAGCATGATGGATAAATATTGCTGAAGACCAGAAAAGGCAGTGTTCATTTCAGTTGATACCAGTTGTGAACAGATGTCTGTCAAGAACCATATGATCTTGCCCAAAGTCATGACACCACTTATGTCCTCTGGAATTTATATGCAGCCCTGTGTGGAAGAGGAATAGATGTTGTGTTGATCTATTTCAAAATATAATGTCTGTTTATCTGGAAAAAGAGTAAAGTTAAGGATATGTGTGTGTGTGAGTGTGTGTGTGTGTGTGTCACTAAGCAGAGAGACAGCTTAAGAAATAAATTAAGGAGCATCTCTGGTGGTGCAAGGGATTAAGTATCAACACTATGAAGCAGTCTGCAGCCACTGCCGCACAAGTGCAACACCTGGCCAGGGAGCAATCCACATGGCACAGCAGACCTCTCCTGTCTCGCTTGCTGCTCCCCTCAGCAGTGTATTTGATTCAATCCACCTCTTCTGCTCCCCCTCTGTCTCTGGTGAATCCTCTCATCCCCCGCACCTCTGGCCTACATCCCAGCTCTTGTATGCATTAATAAATAAATCTTCAAAAAAAAGAAATAAATTAAGTTCAGTTATGGGAAAATAAAGTCATTTTTCTGCACACCTGGGCATGTGACTTGTAAGCCCATAAATAAAACAGCAACACGAAAATTTTCAAGAAGCATTTACAGGCAGGGGCGCCTGAAGCAAACCATCTGTATTCAGTTCTTTTAACACAGGCTGCAAGGAAGGAGCTCTAAGATTAGGGAAACATTTTCAAATTATGTTCTGTGGAACACTAGTTCCATAGGATATGAATTGATGTTAAGAGAGAAACAAAGTTGGTAGGTTTTTTCAGTGCCAGGTTCTCAGTCATTCATATGCAAAAGTTTAGTATAACCCTCCAAAAGCAAAGTTTTGAACTGGCCCATGCGGCAGCATTATGACTGATGTACAGCAGAATCTACCTTCAAAGGATTCCTTCTAAATTTGCTGCGAACACTGGCAACTGTTAGCCCAGTGTGGGACCTGCCTCAGCTGCAGAACATCACCTCACATAGTGTTACGCCCCGCCCCTTCATGGAGTTGCTCACTTGCCAAGACCTATCACTACTCAGTCGTTGCCTCAAGGCAACTCTAAAGGTCATTCCAAATCCGGAGGCCCCTGTAGTGTTGATCAAGGCTGTTGTTGGACTTTCATTACAACTTGAACCCTCTACCCAGTCCTGCTTCTTTCTCTTTTTTTCAGCCAGTATTGGTCCCGAGAGCATTTCTTAATAAACATCCTGCAGATTAAACTGCACCTCAGAGTCTGCATCCTGGAGAAGCCAAGCTGGGACACCCCACTTTCCAATTTTGTTTGTCCAACACAGGCTTTTAATAGGTGTATCTAGTAGCATGGGGTTTAAGAAACACGTTTTGGATGCCAGTGAGTGCAGTATGAGAAGGTGGTATTTTTGTGGGAAGGAATGGGAGAGGTACTTGATACTTGAACACCAGCCCATGCATTCCTTTGAAATTTGAAACCAACCGAATTTGAGATGTAACTCTAATGGTTAAAAGTACTACAGGATACATTCTCTAGTGAAACAGATGGAGAGGATGTAAATATTATATGACCTGTGCAAATACACTTTCTTTTTCCTGTAAAAATGCTTAAATCTCTAAGGTGATCAACAGTGTTTGATAAAATGTACTCATTTCTGCCTGGAAATACAAATATTTTTCATTCACAGCTGCCTTTGGATCTTAGTGGGAGAAGAAGGGGGGACGTATAATAAAGGCCTTTGAAAATCAGTTTCCAAGAAGTGAAAACTGGGAAGTAGGAGTCAACAAAACTAAAAAATCCTTATAGAACTGTAAAAGCTTTCCCAAACGTCCAATGGATTATTATACACTAAACTTACTAAAATATTTGTGTCGGTTAAGCCACTGACTAACATCATTTCAAGAGTAACTGTATTACCCAAAAAAAAAAAGGAATGAATGAATATAAACATTTTTTAGCATACTTTTGAAATAGTGATTTTTGTATTAAACACTACTTTGTAACAAGGACCTGGCTTGAAGACTGACACCTAAGTGATCAGAGACAGGGAGCTGCCAGGCTAAACGGTCAGCACACTGCAGTCCCCAGTAAGATGAGATGCAGGCAGCCTCTACAAATGTGGCTTGGAGGGGGAGGTGGTGGAATTTGCTTCAGCTCACTTGAATAAGCTACTGTGTATGGCTCACAAGGGTCCCGTTCTTAATGAGGTGGTGCGTAGCAGCAGCACACTGTGAATCCAAATAGCAGATGGCAGCACTGTTGAGTAGGCTGGCAGTCTGATGTCTAGCCACCAACTGGCAGCAATCATTATTAAACTGATTCATGAGCCCAGGGAAAATCTTCATAAGAGTCCTAGCAAATGTGAGCAGTGAGAAGCAAATGATCTATCGCTACCCTTTATGAATACTACCTATATCTTTAAAAACATTATTCCCCAAGGCAATGTGCACGGAGAAATGGCATGGTGTGTGGAACTGAAGGCCCCATTTTTCCTACATACTCATATATTTTTAAACATGATAGCTATGATTTCTCTATTTGGTGAATAGCTTTTACTCGAAGGAAATAACTTCATAGCATTCACCCTATGGACTCATGGTAAATATTCAATGACAGGCAACCATTCTATAAATAAAGATTCCTTGGAAATGGTATTGCTGAATTAATAGCAACATATTCTGTCTCACATAATGAAGTAATGCCCTAAACCGCTCATAGTGCATTTACCTGAGGCAGGTAACATCCTTGGTGAAAAGCTTGTTGTGATCACACTTAGTTAGAAATGCAGATTAGGAGAGTCACCAGTTTTAGAAAACAGTTCTAAACCAAAGGGCTTTCACAAGAAAAAAATCTTGAAGGTATTAGGTTTTTTAATTCTGTTTTGACAAATCAAAATGCTAAGGCAATAGCAGTTTTTTCTTTTCAAATATTGTCAAGATCTGTTATTTGTCACCAATTAAGGCAATTTCTACATCTCTAGATAAAGAAGACTTAAGGAAAGACTTTTATGAAACATAAACAAAATACTTGACATAAAAACATCAATCCTTCCTGTTCTCTAAATCTTCATTACGTTTGCTTTCAAAATTGAGATGCTAGATTTCTCTTATGTCATATGGTAAGAAAATACTACAGTCAAATATCAGGTATTCCACATGCTACAATCACAGCTTTTATTATGTAATCTTTTATGATTACTTTTGAATGGAAGCAAAAATGTAAGTCTTTTTAAGAGAAGTGTTAAAATTTCTCTGAATGAAGTTTCTTTTGGCTTTAGCGCTTTGGTAAACCAATTCAGGCTGAACTGCCACTTAGAAATTCTGGAGACTTTTGTGACCTTTTTCAAACATGAGGGTGATTCCCTCCCAAAGTTAGATATCCCTGACAATAAAGTTCAAATGCAATATCACACTACCTTCAAGTTTCTCAATATTCTCCCTAAACAAGAAGTCAGATGCCAGAAGTCATCATATACCTTAATATTTGCGGCAAAAAAATCCAACAAATCAATGAGGGGTTTATTCACATTTGCCAGTCTCTTGATTACTTTGCAAGAAATAAACCAGGGGTAGAAGATGGTATATCCATATCTTGTTCTGCCTGAGAAAATAAATGCCATGTGTTAAAAGAAATCTGAAAATGATGGCACATGAATTCTATAAAATGGCTGGAATCCCTCAAAATATTGAACAACTTAGACAGACTTATGTTTTTATCAAACATTATAAAATGTTTATGTTTTATTTAAACATAATTTTGTATTTCCTAGATATTAGGAAAATATGGTATAATGAATATTTTTCCTGGGTATTGGGTTATTCTCCAAGGTCAGTATAAAAGAAAACCACTAATGGATAGTGTAGTTAAGAGAAAGTATTTCCAGGTGTTCTGATGCACTCATAAAGACCTGAAGGTGAGTAGGTGGACTGAAAGTATTACAGAGGCTCAATTTGAGTAACTCAGTCATATTACCAAAAGATGAATATTCTCTCTTAAAACAGAAGAATTCTAGCAATTATGAACTGCAGATACTGGAAATGCATTCCTTGAAACTTTCATGTACCAGGTAGTTGTTTTTGTTCTCTACCTTTCCCTGAATCTACCCTTATCAAATATACCAATGGTATCCATTTAGTGAAAAATCAAAGTTTTGTTCTCAGACTCACTCTAACACTCCAAGGCTTTTAATGCAATTGATCACTACCACCACCTTAAAACACTTGATTGGCTTGGTTTCCAGGCAAGTAGTGCATTTGCTTGCTTTTTTTCCTCTTTTACTACAGTTCATTATAAGTTTGCTGCTTAGCTTCTCATCAAAATCCCCATGTTTTGAAATCTGAATATTCCTAGAAACTCTGCTGTGTATACATTCTGATATCTGAATGAAGGTACACATTCTACTATACACTCTAATAAGGGCAGCAACTATTTGTGTCTGAATTACTGTGTGATGTCCAATACATAGTACACATAGAATTATTTGTTGAAGGAATGAATGAATAGTGGAGCAACATCTACTTTTAAGAGATGGGTGTAAGAACAATGATGATAACCTAGAAATTAAATAGTTCTTAACAGTAGTTTATTAAGGTAGGGATATATATCATAATCCTTATCATTGCAGAATCCAGCCAGTAACTTATCCAATAACATGCAGCTTCTAAGTGTGAGAACTGAGACTTGCACTCCTGTCATCCAAAGGCCACGTTCTTAATGCAGTACTACATGTATTGATGTGTACCAAAGAAAAATAAGGAATAGGAACCCTGCTTCAGTTTGCAGATTTCCTGGCACTTTGCTACAGTGAGATAGTCTTGACGTTGATAGCTCTGATGATAACAGGACAACAGATGCTGTTTTTCTTACATTCAAAAAGAAAAGGACCTTCTTACCTGTAAAATGCAGATGAAATTACTATCAGTCTACCATCTATCATTTTTTACTAAAATAAGATAATGTATAAATATAAATATTAATCACTGTCCAAAAATCCTGGATGACTTTTATTCTTCAGTTATTTCTACTGCAAGGTACTGAAAGAAGAGATGAAGTAGAGAGAAAGAAAATCTCCTTACTGACAGGAACAGAGTAGAGAGCAGGAAGAAGACAATCTAGAAGGAGGTAGAACATCGCTTATATACCCAGCTCTTTCATGTAGAGAAATGGGAGGAGAGGAAATGATTTCTAGTTTCCATGTAAAATATAATGAAAACCCACTACACAATTAAGGAATTAAAAGTTCATTGACTAAGCCAACCTATATTATTTTTTTTCAAAAATGGAAAATCATAAGGACAAAAGTACGCTGATAGCATAAATTTTAAAAAAGGCAATTCTTCAGTTAATTCTTTTTTTTCTGGTTTGGTTTCACTTTCCATTTAATCCATAGACATTACAATTAGCATATCCCAAGGATGAGGAGATTGAGTAGGCAGGGATGTTTGATTAATGAAGTAGCACTGATCCAAGGACCTCTTGCTCCTCACAACAGGTCTTTTTAACTGTAATCAGGTAGTACAACTAGGAATACTCCTCAAATTCCCTGAACTACTGAATTCCAAGTCGTCGTATTGATTTTTTTTTTTTTTTTTTTTTTGGGACCCTCACACTGGCCGGGAATGAACCAGAGCTGCAGAGGCTGCGGGCAGCCTTGCAGCCCAGGGCTCAACCTCTGTTCCACTAGGGGAGGCCCTCGTCGTATTACATTATTAAAGAAAATGGCAACCAAGATCAAGTTATAGTCGAGGACTTCACCTAAAAATTCTAACAAGGGTCCTCCTGGTGGTGCAGGGGTTAAAGTCTCAGTGCTATCAAGCTATTGCCAGCCACAGGGGCCTGAGTTAGATGATCCCTGGCCTCGGAGCTAACCCACATGGGTTAGCTCTCCCATCTTACCTGCTGCTCCCCTCAGCAGTGTATTTCAGTAGATCCGCCTCTTCTGCTCCCCATTCTGTCCCTGGTGAATCCTCTCTTTCTCTCTCTCTCTCTCTCTCTCTCTCACACACACACACATCCCACATCTCTGGCCTGCACCCCAGTTCTTGTATGCATAAATTAAAAAGTTTTAATAAGGGTACCTCCTTCCTTTGTTAATATAGTCATTAGCTCTCCTTTAAGGAGATTAAAAACTACCACTGCAGAGATACAAGTTTCTTGATTATGTTTATGCCTCTACTATGAACATAACACAAGACTTTAACATAGTTAAACAAACATATTTCTTAACCCAAAGAGTGCACAGGTATGCCCTCATGGGTAGAGTTTTAGACTCAATAAGTCAATATTTAAATCTAAGTTCACATCTAGCCAAAACAAGACTCAGCCTCAACCTCACTATGTTCATTATTTAACTGGATTGAGTCCCTCACAAGGTAGTTTTGGAGATTTGTAATAATGTGCTTAAAGGGATTAGATTGGCTGACACAGAGTCAGTTTTCAGTAAAGCATGACTGTAATTATTATCAAAGTTGTTAATCATTGCGATGGTGATACTGAAACTGATTGTAGTTTTATTTTCAGGAGATTTGCTTTTTTAGGTTTTGGTTTCATAAAAAGAGAAGTTCATGTTTTTGTTTATATAGAACCTATTATAGAAATATAGGAATTCGTATTACAATTATCCCCCCAATTCACTCATGCCAACTATGTGCTAAATACCATGTGTCTACATCTAGAAAGATATAAAAATAAGTGTAATGTAGAACATACGTAAACAACAACTTTAAGAAAAAAATAAATATCATGAAAGAAACATAAATAAAATATGGAAATTCTAAGTAGATGGTTCTATGTAAAGAAATCTGGGAAATTATCATGGAAGAGGCAGGATGGGACCTGAACTTTAAGCTAAGCAAAGAATTTAGAAATGCAAAGATTGAGAAAGAGGTAGACAAAATGGATGGTTCTTAAATGATTCACTCATTTCAAAATTTTCTCATTGCTTTAATTCCTGGAGTCTAACCCTTGTGGTTCTTACATGTTAGTGATGGAGAATAAGGCCAGGTGAAAGTGAAATGAGATGAGCAGGAGCATGGAATGTCTGTGATGGCCCCAGGGAAGAGTAGCTGATAATAAACCTGCAACCAGATCATGGGAGGTTTTAAATGCTGAGGTAAAACATTTGGACTTTATTCAAGGCTTTTGGAAAGAAATTTCAAAAGCATTAACCCCATTTTTGAACTTAAAAATAAAGTGGTCTGGTTGAAAATACAAACTCGGTGAACATTGCTAAAAGATAAACTGAGGCATAACAACATTTTTTAAAGTATATCTGAGCAATTTCTCAATTAGAAGGGGGTGGCGTGGAACCAATAAGTAGTTTGGAATGCTCTGTGGTGGTGCTTTCTTTGGAAGCAGAGAAAGGAAATGATTGGGCGGTCTATGGTTTCAAGTTGAGTTGACTGTTTGTGATTGGTTGTTCTTAGTGCTTTTGGTTTCGTAATCTTGAGGCATTTACAGGCTTAGATTTTGGTTTGCTTATGTAGGCTGCCAAGGCACTACAGTCACCTTAGTCTAATGGCCTCGTTTCTAATTAATTCAACAACAGGTACATTGTTAAAACAGGTTGAATGGTGTCTCAAGTTCTTTCTAGCAGTGTTTGAAATGTATCAGAAAGAAAGAAGGCTGGAAATAGGGGCACCTGGGATAAAAAGCTATTTCAATAGGTCAAGAGTGAGGTAATGAAGACTTAAACTGAGGCAAAAAGAGACAAATGAGAACCACTGTAATGGAGCTTCATGACTCCTCAGAATTGCTCTAAGTCCTGCCAAGATGGACAGCTTAGTTAAACTAAGAAATTCAAATCCGTATCTCCCTCAGCATTTATACTCACAGTGGTGTAAACATTCCATTTTAAAACTGTACATGAATAAATAACAAGGGGATTGAAAATTCAGTTCATCTTACAGATTCTAAAACTGATAGCTGTGAAAAACTAGAGGTGCCTAGGGACTCCAAACTGTAAAGGGGAAACACCCATGTTGCCCCTCCTAAGAGTCTGCACCCATACATGCTCCAAAAAGTGAAGTAATCAAACTGTGGTATTCAGAGATTTTTAATTAGTGAGAGTTTCTAAAAGAATAGAGAGAGAGATTGAGAGAGAGAAGAGGAGTAGGGGACAGAGAGGCTTAAAAATACAGAATCCCTTTCAAACTCCAAAATCAACCATCCCCTGGTGGGCAAATATTCAGCCAAACAGGCAAGGTCCAAAGTAGAGCAAACAAGGCCCAAAAGCAGAACAAATCCAAGGCAACCTCCCCCAGCAAGAAACATGAGCAAGGTGTGCAAGACCTAAAGATCTGGGATAGGAGGAAAGAACCAAAGTTCCAATCTGAATCCACCACAAGGTCAAGAAGGTGGCTGCTATAGTCTCTCAAGAAAGCCAAACTGTGCAGGCAGCCACCAAGCCACCAAAGCCCTCCAGCTTTGTATCTTATGGTCTGCCCCCTCCCCGCAAGGCTCTGCTCTTCCCCTTGATTCCAGCTATCCCCTTTGAAGAAATCAGGGAGTGTAGCAGTGAGAGTTATGGCTCTCTTAAAATACAAGCCAAAAACATAAAAGCAACCTCCCAAACTATGCTTTCTTTTCCTTTCTGACATTATCCTGCCTGCCTCCATCTTGCCTGTGCCTTCCTCAGGGCTTTCAGTTAGCATCTCCTTATGGTTTAAAACACTTGACAAATACTGAGACCCTCTCATGACTGCAACCAGTGTAGCAGAGCAAAAACCTGCCACCCCAAAATGTGTCTTTGGGAAGAGGTTTATTTCATGGGAGGGACTCTGTAGGCTAGGTGGAAGTTGCTTTTTATTTTATATCTAAACTTCTCTCTGTAAGGGTTTTTCCAGGAAAACCTAATCCCCTTGTCTCTTTTCAGAGGAAAAGACAGCAGTACCTTTGTTTTCCCCGGTGAGGTCCCTAACTGACCACCCTTTATTTTCCCAGCCTCCCTTGTGCTAGCTAAGGCATTTAAGATGGCATCTAAAGCCTCTTGGGAGACTGACAGAGTCATGCTGGGTCTCTCTCATGTATACAGAAGGCACACATGTTATTAACCTTCTCTATGCCTTTTGTCTTATCAATCTGTCTGATGCTTGTTTGAGTATCTGTCAGCCTGAAAGGTACAGGGGGACCAGATGAATTTCTTTGCGCCCCCACACCAGCGACGCATAACCTGCTAACTTTCAATCTGGCCCATTTTTGTGTGATGACACTTTCTTGAAGTGACTAATATTATCTCTCTGAGAAAAAGCCCTATGTGTGACTTTTCATTATAAAAATATCCACTGGGTACATAACATTATTCAAGAAAACATGAAAGCTTGCAGAACAAGTAAACAGCTAAAAGGGCAGCAAGACAAGATAAATGTTTCCTAATAAAAACATGGGAATACATTTTGTTATCTGTGAAAAGTAGAGAGGTTATCCTGTGATATATATAAGGTTGGAAAATACCACAGGAGACATATTCAGACAAAACTATAGATATATTAATAGATCTATAAATACAAATCTATCATATTTACATCCTCCCTTCACGTGCCTGTTCACTCCACTCTGTTATTCATCCAGTTATAAAATCAGAGACCTAAGAAATATACTTAACCTGCCCTCTTCCCTAGTTTCCTATACCTCAATATTTAAAATGCTCTGGTTAAACTCTACTAACTAGATTTGTCTTTTCCTTTCAGAGCTGCAACCAATGACTTTTTCCCCTTCTGATTTAGACTTTAAGGAGACACTACCTAAACGTTCTGAAGAAGATACAGGCAAAATGGAGACAGACAGGACAATGCATATGGGATTTGTTTCCCTAGAAGGGCCAATAGACTTTTTTCAACATGTCCAGAATAGGCCTTGTCCAACAAATGACACCTGGGTATGATCAACTGAAGGT